AGCCACAGCCAGGCTCCGTGATTGAAGGTCTTTAGTTGTTTTTAATACATATATGTTTTATTTTATAAAAAGCAACTGTTAACTATTGTTACTTCTGACATTCCAAATATGTTCCCACACACGCAGAAGCTCTATCCATCGTCTGGCTCCGTGACTCCTTAGTGCCACACAATGATAGCAGAAACCTTTGCATGTGAGCTTCCACTGGACCTTAAAAGTGTCATGGAAATAACTGCTGCTGCAATGACATATTGAAAAAATGTGTTGCACAACTAAATGTTTACATTTGCATATCTTTCACCCATGAATTTGCATGGTTCGGTCTAGAGGCACTTCTCAAACTTCTTTTAAGAAACTCAAAGCCTTTGAAGCTCTTTCTGTGGCCCTGATGAGGGAGTCAAACATGAGCTGCAGTTTAAAACAAACTGCTTTTAGGTGTTTTAACCATAAGACAACCACAGGTCTACAAGATCCAGCGCCTATAGGTAGACAGACGGCTCTTACAACTATTTTATCTCTATTAGGAGTTCAGTGAATTCCAGCTTGGCACCGTTGGGATGCAAACCTTCGGAAAAGACCAGTTATAAGATGACTTCACCATTTAGTATTCCATTGTAAAATTCTAGTGGTATTATAATAGACAGATTTTTCTTTTTGAGTGCTTAAAATAAAAATCCAGGAAAATATACTGGGGGATCTAAGTGTGTTAAAAAATTTAACAAGGGCTTAATTTGCAGAGTAATCATTTGCATGTAAATCTTGTAACTGCCTTGATTTGTTTATAGAACTGATTTTTCTGTGGGATCAATTCTCTATCTGCATGTTTAAAATTTGACAGGACAATTTAATTGACTTACTGAGGCCTTTGGCAGAAACATTGAATAAACCACAGCAATATTTGAGTTTTTTTGTGTGTAAAACACAGTGCTTAGAAAGGCTCAGTCTCTGTTTTCTTTTCTGTCCCAAAACCAACAATAGTAACAGGTCTATCTTTGCTGTGTCTATACTTCTTAGTAACATCCAGTCATATAAAAAAAAAGCCTGTGTATTTTAGTTGATGGATTACATACATGTTGACAGTATCAGCTAACCTGAAGCTGCTGTGGACCTTCAAAGCAACATCCCTTGTGGTCCAGTTCTGCCTGGGATCCAAGTAGTCATCTGTCAGCTCTGAGTGTCTGAGCTGCTCCACTCGATCTGCCTGCAAACGCCCTGTGGATGCAAACTACCGTCAAACTCAGAGGAAACATCATAAAAACAACCTTTATACATGGAGTTGGAGACATTTTTTCTGTCCCTTTTGAGTGTCTGTCCGATACGAACACAGTTAACCCAGAATTCAAGAAAATGTCAACGGTCAGCAGAGGTCTGCTGTTTGCCAATAGCATAGCTGTGAAATGGTAGTGAGCCACTCACCGGTTTCCTTCTAAAAAAAAAAAAAAAAAAAAAAAAAAACCAACAACACATACCTTCTGGGCATCTGTTTTCTAAAGGTCTTAGAGATCATCAAAAGGATTTTTGGTAAATGTGTTCTTTTGCTCAGCAGTGTTTTTTTGTGTTTCTTATTATTGAATCATGATCCCTGACCTTGAAGGAGGATAGAATGTGTTTTTGCAGATGGTTTGTCTCTTGTGGAGACATGGAAGAATGGAAGAAGCGGAAAAACACAGTAGTTTGCTGCTGCGGCTACAAAGGTCTTTTGTTTAGATACGTAATTATCTGGTTAATGGTGGTGAAGAGCGTGCAACATGTCACACCCAGAGGCCACATCCTGAATCACTGACTAAAGGGCTGTGTATGGTCCTTTGTGTCGCAGGTATGATATTTTTGATTTATGCCCAATTTTTATGCGTGGTCTGCTCTGTTATTCCACACCACAATGCAAGAGGGACACTAACGGACCAACTAGGATTGAAGGTGTGGTGGGTGGCATGTTTCTCTTCTGGTTACAGAGGTCACTCAACAACAATGGCGACTGAACCAATGCGCACTTTCTAAACGAGCTGTGCACCTATAATCATCCGAATCAACAAACTCACACTAAACACCAGCAAAAGATTCCCGAGGCCTTTAAAACTCCCAGCCTGGTTCATCACAGAAAAAACGGGGTAAGATTGCAGACCTGAATGCTGTCCAGAAGGCCATCATTGACACCCTCAACCAAGAGGGTATGACACAGAAAGATATTTCTGAACGTATAGGCTGTTCCCAGAGTGCTGTATCAAGGCACCTCAGTGGGAAGTCTGTGGGAAGGAAAAAGTGTGGCAGAAAACACTGCATGACGACAAGAGGTGACTGGACCCTGAGGAAGATTGATGAGAAGGGCTGATTCTAGACCTTGGGTGACCTGCGGAAGCAGTGGACTGAGTCTGGAGTAGAAACATCCAGAGCCACTGTGCACAGGCGTTTGCAGGAAGTGGGGTACAGTCGCTGCATTCCTACAGAGAAGCAGCACTGGACTGTTGCTCAGTGGTCCAAAGTACTTTTTTCGGATGAAAGCAAAGTTTGCATGTCATTTGGAAATCAAGGTGCCAGAGTCTAGAGAAAGACTGAGGAGAAGGAAATGCCAAAATTCCAGAAGTCCAGTGTCTAGTACCCACAGTCAGTGATGGTCTGGGGTGCCATGTCAGCTGCTGGTGTTGGTCCACTGTGTTTTATCAAGGCTAGGGTCAATGCAGCTAGCTATCTGGAGATTTAGGAGCACCTTATGCTTCCATCTGCTCAAAAACTTTATGGAGATGAAGATTTTATTTCTCAGCACGACCTGGCACCTGCTCACAGTCCTGAAATGGTTTACTGACCATGGTATCACTGTGCTCAATTGGCCTGCCAACTCTCCTGACCAAAACCCCATAGAGAATCTGTGGGATATTGTAAAGAGAAAGTTGAGGCATGCGAGAACCAACACTGTGGATGAGCTAAAGGCCGCTATCGAAGCATCCTGGGCCTCCATAACTCCTCAGCAGTGCCACAGGCTGATTGCCTCCATGTCACGCTGCATTGTAGCAATCATTCCCGAGCAAGTATTGAGTGCATAACTGTACACAATTATTTGAAGGTTGACTTTTTTTGTATTAAGAACACTTTTCTTTTATTGGTCGGATGATATGCTAATTTTGTGAGATAGGAATTTAGAGTATTCATGAGCTGTATTCCCAAATCATCCGTATTAAGACAATAAAAGACCTGAAATATTTCAGTTAGTGTGCAATGAATCTAAAATATATGAATGTTCAAGTTTGATCATTACATTATGGAAAATAATTAACTTTATCAAAATATGCTAATGTTTGAGAAGGACCTGTAGCTAGTCCATCTTCATGAGTCATTTTCCACAATGGCGGTCATACAAACAAAACAAGCTCGTAAGGTGCCAGACAGGAAATACGTGTAGTAGAGCGGATGTTGAATTGACCAATCAGAGGCCTCCTTTCTGTCCTCCCTGAAACGCTATCTGCGGCACTGTCATGGTGATTTCATAGGGACATTACAAAGGATGTTCTCACATAAGATCAGAATGGTTTCGGTTACCTTTTTTCCCTTTCATGATTGAAAGCATAATTTGAAAACCTTTAGAAAACATTTTCTAACAGCACTGTGTATTTTGTGCAGAAAGTGTAGAATTAACCCTAAATTGGATCCTGCAAAGCTTAAAGTAGCAACACTTTTTGATGTAAAAAAAATACTTCTAGTATTCTAGGGTTGGTTATTATTCTAATTTATAGGAGGCTCAACAAACAACAAAAACAACATAGATCCAGACCTATAGTGTGGATTTATATGGATGAAATATAAACAAGTTGATTATTATAGTTCTATGTTTAAAAAATGTCAGACGATTATTTCAGGCTATAATGGATTCACTCACGATTCCTCTCCACAAAAACTTTGCCGGCCGGCTGACTGTGTCCGTGTGGAGCAGAAAACAAGGAATGCTGAGGGATGGGGGACTGAGCATCAGTGATGATATCCTCATCTTCAGCTTCCAGCTCTGTGCTGTAATGCTCTGTTGTCTTTGCCTTCCTGTCAGGAAGAAAGGTGAACAAAAGTTTGAAATTAGCCAATAGGGTTTTGTTTTTGTTNTCTAGTATTCTAGGGTTGGTTATTATTCTAATTTATAGGAGGCTCAACAAACAACAAAAACAACATAGATCCAGACCTATAGTGTGGATTTATATGGATGAAATATAAACAAGTTGATTATTATAGTTCTATGTTTAAAAAATGTCAGACGATTATTTCAGGCTATAATGGATTCACTCACGATTCCTCTCCACAAAAACTTTGCCGGCCGGCTGACTGTGTCCGTGTGGAGCAGAAAACAAGGAATGCTGAGGGATGGGGGACTGAGCATCAGTGATGATATCCTCATCTTCAGCTTCCAGCTCTGTGCCGTAATGCTCTGTTGTCTTTGCCTTCCTGTCAGGAAGAAAGGTGAACAAAAGTTTGAAATTAGCCAATAGGGTTTTGTTTTTGTTTTTTATTACATTGATCATATGTCAGAGTTCTGCCCTCTACTTGGGTTTATTTTTAGTTTCTGAGTTCTTTAGTTCTTGTGTTGCTCTCTATTGCCCTTAGGTGTTTGTTTCCTTCTCTCTTGGTCCCTTCTTGTTAGTTCGACCACACCTGCTCATATCTGCTGATTAGCTTGTCTTGGTTCAGTCTTCTAATATATACCCCACCCTCTGCAGTCACTCAGTGCTGGTTTGCTGTTTTGTTGTGTTAAAGTGAGAAGGATTTTGTTTAATAAAACCTAACAGTTGCTTCCTCATCTCTGGTTCCTCATGTGAGTTTTTCCTGACATTTTGGTTATCTGTATTTTGCTTCTCAGTATTTTTGGATTTCTGCCTCAGTTGCCTATCAATTCTGCAAGACTCAACTCTGCCTTTTGATCTCTGTCTGTGGGTCCTCAAAAACCTCTACCCAAACGTTACATCATAGGCAAAGAAAAGAGTCTCTGTATTGAAGATGAGCAGAGCAGCTTTGGTTCAGAATAACAACCCCAGACATTAATGTGTAGAAGGAAAGAAAAACATGTAGATGTTTTGTTGTTGGTAAACAAAATGTTGAATTCTTTTCTATATTTATTATTTAATCCAATTTTCAGTAGTTCAGCTTATTTAATCTACGCATATATAATACTGCTGTGCTTTCATTTATTATGTTTTTCAATTTTGATTTTTGCATGGCTTTAGTTAAAACAAATGTGCTTCCATCAGATGAGTGGATTCACCTCTTATTTGCTTTTGAATCAGTACATTTTACAGTTATTCTTAATTTTAATTTTGATCATCTCTTGCTTCTTTCAAATTTAAGTTTGGCTGCTTTGATCAATACCCACTTTACTTTCTCTGACATCATCAGATTAAATCATCAGATAATTTAAGTCCTAAAGCCATTAATTGACCCACCTGGTACTTACCTTTTCTTTTTGGTCTTCCTGATGACAGAAACAGCCATTTCGTCTCCTTCCCCGACCATCTCGGCCATATCCCCGTTTGGTATATCCCCGTGTTCTGTTTCCTGGTCTATCCAAACAACACAGTCATGCATTAGAAGAAGGATCCTCTTTATTAATCCAGTCAAAAAATGCTCTTCAATATTTTCTTTGGATCATTAAGCTTGTATTTTGCTACCTTTTCAAAACATCTTAATAATGATGCAACATTTGAACAATCATCAAGAAAATGCATTGACCTTTATTTGTTACTACTGCACACCCGCCATCATAACAAACTTCACCAACCAAATCAGTGCCTTTATTAAAAAACTAAATAAAACTGATAAATAAGGAAACCAACATTGAAAAGCTGTTCATTGGAGTTTTTAGTGGCTGCTCTTCTACTTTTCTAGAGAAGTTAGCCTCGGCAGATGGCTGCTCACGCTGAGTCAGTTTCTGCTGGAGGTTTCTTCCTGTTAAAAGGGAGTTTTTCCTCTCCACTGTCACTACAAGCATGCTTAGTTGAAGGGATTGCCTTTGAATCAATGAGTCAATGCAATCAGCTGGTTTTCCTTAGATAGAAAACTTTGAAACACTCTGGTTGAATTGTCTCTGTAAAGTGCCTTGAGATGACATGTTGTGAACTGGTACTATATAAATACACTGAAATAAATTAAATCATGTTACTCTTTTTGAGAGCCACATACACTCACCGGCCACTTTATTAGGTACCCCATGCTAGTAACTGGTTGGACCCTCTTTTGCCCTCAGAACTGCCTCAATTCTTGGTGGCATAGATTCAACAAGGTGCTGGAAGCATTCCTCAGGGAGTTTGGTCCATATTGACATGATGGCATCACACAGTTGCCGCAGATTTGTCGGCTGCACATCCATGAAGCGAATGCTCTATTGGATTGAGATCTGGTGACTGTGGAGGCCATTTGAGTACAGTGAACTCATTGTCACGTTCAAGAAACCAGTCCGAGATGATTCCAGCTTTATGACATGGCGCATTATCCTGCTGAAAGTAGCCATCAGAAGTT